TTCAGACTCTTGGAAAGCATAGCCTACAAATAATTTATCCCATGCTTTTTGAGAAGGCATTAGTCACATGTGAGCATGAATGACCATATATGAACATCCTACCTCTGTAATCTCAACAAATTTCTACTATCTCTCAGTTATCTTTTTTGCTTTTTAAGCATGTTTATTGTTTTTCCTAGAACAAAAATAATGCCTTTAATTTAAATCCATTTTTCTCAAAACTTGTGACACATGCATCTCATATCTTCCTGCAGGTTAGGTCTCATTTGGCCCTGAGACACAATACAAACCTGCATTTAAAGAGAACAACTTAACTCCTCCATCAGGTTCTGTGAACCCCAAGGGCCATACATCAGAGGTTAAAAGTTTAACATCTGCTTCATGGGAATAACAAACGTAGTTTAATTCTAGCAAGTGAATACCTCTATAGCTGTTCTCTTGGAAAAAAAGGATTTTTTATTTTTAAACAGCTTTGAGTTCAGCCATTTTTAAATACAGTGAAACCGTATTTCTCTAAGCAAGCATCAGAACAATTTAGAATTCAGTTACCCAAAATATATTTCCATTAGCTACAAGTTTGATTTATACAAAATTTCTCAATTTGAAAGAGATATGAAACAAAAACTAGCAGTGTTTTGCAAGAGATTGTGTAAATATATCTATAACTAGAAGCATTACCATTTGTTTTAAGAATATATTACTTTGGTTTGGAATAGTTAACCATTATAATTTTTTTCTGCAGCACTGCAATATTAGATTTTTTTTTCCCCCATGATTAATAAAAATAATAACAATCCAACAAAAATATAACTCTCTGGTAAGTCTATTTCTATTCCACTGGAAAATACTACTGATAGTTTTACAAACAAACCAACAGTACAGGTGACATTTAAATTGGAATGAAAATACATATAAGCAAGACCATGATGATAAAATTTTATCATAGGGTCAAGCATATATTTATCAGACAAGTTACAGGACATCAGCTAATCTTTGTTTATAAACTGTAATTCTCACAAAAAAGTGAAGATTCTGGCAAGTTTGCAAATAACATAAAGTGTACATGTGGTAGTAATTAACTACATTGGTCTTGCATCACTGCATCAACACTGGTCTTCTACTGCAAAGAAGAGTTAAAATCTGTTCTTTACCCTCCTGCTGGCTTTAGGCAGTGGCATATCTCTCAATTTTCCTAGTCACAGAATGGAAATTACAGGTGAGAATCTACTGGGGAATATTTTATAATCTGCAAATCACAATGGTTAAAAATCTCCTTCTGTGCACTACTTAATTGGTTTGTGCTGGATTTTCAGCACTGGAATCCATAATTGGCAAAAGAGGTATAAAAGATGAGGCTGCACATCATCCATAATCAGGAAACATTGATGATTCATATTAGTTACATCCAAAATGAATGAACACATCAGTTATAAGGGCTATATACTTTCAAACATGCGCACAAAACCAACTTTATGCATGTGCCATTAAGGATTAGAGATCCAATTTATAGCAGTATCAGTAATGATGCCAGCTCAGATCTCATGAAAAGGTCCTAGACTGAAGCATTAAGGGGGGAAAAACATAAAGCAGGAGAGAGAAAAAAGAAAGAAAAGAAAAAAAAAAAAAAAAGGAAAAAAAAACCCCGCATGTGCACTCTTCATTGTATTAAAATTAGTTCTGTCCAGTACTGTTACTCATGCCTCAGAATGGAGCTCTATGAGTTTCTGAATGGTAACTGTCAGGTTTCTAAGGAAACTCAGTTGTCCTGATTACTTGAGGAAGGAGGAAGTAAACTGAAGGTCTAGTATTAGACAGTTAGTAGATTAAATAGAAGTTGGTGGCCTGACTGTGACAGGGGCTTGGAGCTGTTGATCCTTGAGATCCTTTCCAACCCAAGCCATTCTGTGCTTCTAAGATATCAGGAATACTTTCATGTAGGACTACCAGATTTTTCCAGTTCCCTAACCTGTAGTGGTCAGAAGATTTTTAACACTCCCTCGCTTTCACCAGAGAAGTTATAGTTCAGTTACATTTCCTGTCTAACCTCAGTCCTTGACTAGTGCTGTGCAACCACAAGAAGAAGAGGAGGTTAGGGAGAAGGCCAACACAGACTACTTTGGATAAAAAAGAAAGCACAAAAATGAAAACAGCTTTGCTTTGAACACAAATCAAAGAATGATGGAAAGAGAAGAAATGCAGATAGACTTTCCCTAAGGACAAGAAAATACCTCCAAAGTAATACGTTATAACCATATCACCTTTTCATAATTTTTTGTCCACTGTGCTTTTCTCTTTCGGAGAAAAGCATAGATGTAAGAACCATAGCTTTTGGTTTAGTTTTATATATCAATATTATTTTTATAAGTCCCTGGTGAATTATTCCATAATACTTGAAATATGCCAACCAATATGAAGCTTTCAACATTTTTCAGATTAAGAAGTTGTTGAGATCTACAGATGTTTAAGCTATTCTTAAGAATTTTTCAACATGTTTTATAAGATTTATTGTTGTATTTTAATAAGATTAACTAAGACAGATTATAAACTTCAGTTTATACATTTACTCAGTATCTTCATGCATAGTAATGGTCTCGTTGTTTAAGAACTACATGTTCATAGCTTTGTAGACTGGATGCAGTTCAAAGTAGTAGTCACTGAATATTCTGCCAGACATAAATCCATTAGCGTGATACTCAGATTTTGTTGTTAGAATAAAAATTTCTTGAACTAACACTACAGGTCAACATTAACTGACCAGGGTTCTTTCTTTTTTTCTACTACTAAAGTAGAGCTCAGTGTACTTAAAATAAGATACTTTCTAAAAAATATGCGGGGCCAGCTTCTCTAAAATTAAAAAAAAAAAAATTATCTTAATCTGCACGATTTTGCTATTTCTTTTAGAAGACACACTTCAAGTAGGAAGTAAGAAACATCTCTGTATCAAATGCTGTGCTTCTACATGGAAAGGAGAAGTCTAGTGTTACAGATACAGTTAGAAATTGTGTGCCATTAAACTTCTATTTTCTATTACTTAGGTGCTCAGATGTTACCAGTCAAAAGAACATTTTAGGCACAGAAAGTGACATAACATTTAGGCCTTCTAATTCTGTACCAAAAAATATCATTTGTGAGCTCACACAGAGCCTCACTGAATCCCCCACCTACCTTTTATAGGTGTTAAAAGGCTTTTGCTATCCATCACTATGTAGCATGGGTTAAACTTTTCAAAGGTGCCATGCTCCACTGTTAGCTGTTGTGTTCATATTTCTGCAGTGCCCACAGTTTTTGGTCTTCAGCTCTGTAAAGCTTAATCAAAATTTGCAATATCTCACTCTGCATGGTTTTTTGTTTATTTGTTTGTTTGTTTTTTGCTTTTAATGTAAAGAAAATAAGGAAAAGGCAATGTAATTTGTCAAAAGCCAGCAAATCAGTGATAATATTCTGCAAGCTGTAACAACTGTATAGGAAAAGTGTCCTGCTTATTTCAGAATGTGAAATGAGTTTGAAAGGTGTATATTAAGGTTGTTATAAATTGTGGATGAATATATACATATATGTATGTGTATATGCAAAGTTACAAGACAAAGTGTATAAAAGATTATATAAATTTAGAATGTGCCTTCGAAGAGGTGCATTTTCACAGCTGCAATCTGACAGTGTATCTATGCCGTTTTCCTCTCTTGGATCAAACTTTCCAGAGAAGTATTTTTCCCTCTAAAGAGAAAGGTTACTTCAAGACAGAAGGTAAGGTTGATCTGATTATTTAACAAATGTAGTAATGGGTATGCATGACCTTTATACTGATAAATGGTAAATTGATTCCCTGATCAAAGTAAGAAAATAGTGTCATTCTATCACATATGCATACTACAAAGTGAAGCAAATGAAAGTAATCCACAGGAGATTACACTTGCCTTACAGAAATATCTGCATGGCTCAACTTACTTCTTCAGGCAGAAAATTTCAGACTTTAAGAAAGAAGACAGCATCTTCTGACAACATGACTACAAGCATTTGCTGGGTCAGATGATACCAGCACAGAGCTCACCTGCATTGACTTCCTTGGCAAGGCATTCTATTGGAATTTTATGGCTATTCAGGTCATCTTCTCATTTCTGTTAACATCAATAAAGATTCTGCTCCAATTGCAACTTCTTAAAAAATAATAAATCTTATTCTTGCAAATAATAATAGCAGTAATAAAATCTTATTCTTATTCTTGCAAAATATTAGGGAAAGAACATAACAAAAATGGCTAATCTCTCAGATAATTTCAGAAGGCCTATGAAGAAATTACTTCATACATTGCTTGCAAAGAACTTATGCTTAACTTCTTACGTGTAAACATGATATGTTAAGTCCTTAATGAAATACCTAATGTGTAAGATTGAAGATAAAGGGAGAAATCTAAAGCTTTGCTGTATTCCATGGTATTTAATTTCCATTATCATGTTAAAGCTTACAAGGTTAGAATCATATTATGTATGTCTGTGAGAACTAAGAGCAATTCATATGGAAGAGTAACAGTCTGGAGGAAGAAACTTTACAGGTCAATGTAACTCATTCCCATTGCACACTCACAATTTGGCTTTTGGAAAACAGTGCTAATAAAGACATTAATAATGACTATATGACTTATTATTACCAACTCTTATCTATGAATAATTCTTTTAATATAAGCCACTAGTCAGCCACTGTGAAGACTGTGCTTGTGAAGAGCTAGCTGAAAAGCTGTTTGAATTGCTGTTGCAGAAGAAAGGTGCCAAGCAGTGAACATTCTGACTTCTGCAATGTCTAAATATCTTCAAACTTCAAGCGTTTTCACACATCTTTTTTACAGAGAAATATTGATTAAAAAAATGATTTACTACCTCTTCCTCCTTCATGAGAAAAGCCAATGAGTTTTTGGATTTAGGTAAGAAGAAACCTTCAAAATTACACTGAAAAATAACAAGAATCAACTGAAGGATGGAATTGCACAATTCAAAGTAGATACTTAAAGGATAGAAATGTTCTGATAAGCTGCCAATATAAATGCTGTAGTCTTTCCTGACGTATCCAGATCAAAACAAATTCTTTTCTGAAAAAAATATACAAATTCATTTTTAACAAAACATAGCATGGTACAGTATTGATTTGGTGAAACAGTAATAACCTGCCACGTGATTCTAATTTGGTAATATCTTACAGTCTTACATTATAGAGTAAAAATCTCAACAGATACTAAAATAATCTTTTAAGTGATGTCCTAGTGAGAGAGTTGCTTAGGAAACCCATTTGGTAGCATATACCTTTAACAAGATTCCAAGCTAGTTTTGAAATGCAGGCAACCTTTGTGCTTTATCAGTGCAGACACGCAGAGGGTAGAAGGTTAAGGCAAAAGTGTTGGAGTGATTCATGTGCAAAATAGCATTAGAAAAAATCCTGGGAGAATGATAAACATCTTTTGTATCCCCCTTGTTCAGATGAATCAGAAAAAAAAACCCCACTTTTTTTCCATTTTAATTTTAATGTTCCATATGAAAAGTTTTGGGGCCTTGAATAAGCACAGAGTATGCCCAAGACCTTCTGTTTTTGGGTTTGCTTTTTTATTATTGTTATTATTATTATTGAAAAGTAACTGTAAGTATATTGAAAATAAAGTAGCATAACATTGATTAGGAGCATTTAAAATGATTGATAGATACTGATGTTACGGATAGATGGCCTGATATTGGAAGTGACCTTTTCAAACCAACGATAGAGCTAGCTTGCTGCATTCAAAAGTCATCCCTTCATGATTTTTCCTGATGTTTTAGAAAAAAAGAAACATTTTAATAACTCTTCATTTATTACCTTGCAATAAGTTGTAGAATTATTTACAAATATCAATCCTTTGTATGCTAATAGGACAAATTTTTGTTTTATTTTTAAAGTTCAGAATCTATTATCTTCTGAGGTCTCCTAAGACAACCTTTCACTTCAACAGCTTCTTTATGGCATAATCCAAACACTGGAAATGTCATGTTTCCATACTGCAGTCCTCCATCCTTACATTTGATGATAAGTAAAACTTTCTAGTCTACTTCTGCTTGAAGCAATTAAATTCAGGAAAAGCTAAACATTTAGCTAAACAAACTAAACATTGCAAAGTAACAGTTTGTCTACATTTCCATTATATGGATAATCACCTATTACAACAGTAGTATTATAAACAGCTGTATCATGTGGGAATCCTCTAGGTAGAATGATCTCCCAGACATCTAGTGTTGGCATTTCATTTCCTATACCAACCTACCATAAGTTAACCTCCACAGGAAAGTACAATGAAGCTCCAGTCAGATTAAATCATACAAGGAAAAATGGTCTTCTTCTCAGTTCTTTTCTCCAGCAGACTATACAGCAATTTAAACCAAGAGTCAAAGTTAGTGAAAATTGGGTGTGAAGGAAGATCAGATATGAATAGTTGCTTTTTGCACACACCTGTAAGCAGCAACATACTTGCCAGAACAAGGCAGAGTGAGCAAGAATGTCTATTTTTCTTTAGTAAAATAATGATCTTTATGTAATATTTTTTTACACATCCATTTCAATAATAATGAAGCCTGTGGTTTTGGTTTATTTTTGTCTAATGTTGTAGGATTTGTTGTTGTTGCTGTTTTTAGCAGCTGGTTGTAAGAGCTAGGAAAAAGAGTTGAAGATTAAAAGTAAAATCTCTGTTCCATCAATAGGTAGTTGTCTTCGCCTTTAAAAACTTATGTTTTAATTTGGTAGGCTTTTGCTACTTGCTAGTTTATGAACATAGCACATCAATCCAGTGCTCTTCAATAATGTAAAGCCTCATCTCGTTGACATGCAAATAATTACCTTTGTCTTCAGCTAAACAAACTTTTCCTTGAAGAGATTTTTTTTAGTTTGTTTTCTTTGTGTGCACATGTGAGTGTTTGTGTGTCTGTGTTTTTCCTCTTCTTGAAGCATGCTTATAATTTTGAGCCTAAAGAATATAATGTACAACCATTTATAAATAGACAGATCTTTTTCTATTTCATCTTATTCCCCCGCTCCCCTCCCCAAACCATAAGAAACAAATAAATGAAATTGAGATCAGGTCATTCATCACAGTACAATAAAATCAGAAAGTTAAGACAGGAAAATGAAACCCAACTTCTTATTAAATGTATTGAGTTCCTATGTGATATAGCCACATCTATACCTACTATGAAGATATTAAAGATGTACAAACCCCTGATTTTTAAAATATACACATACAGAAACAAGAGAGAATGCCAGGGTAAAGCTGACTGACAGTGAAGAAAAGCGATCAGCAAAAATGTAATCCACTCAGGCATGCTCTGTAGATTGTCAAACCTCTCTGATTATTTTATCATCTCTTCTACAAATTCCTATTTAGTTACCCTACGTACATTATGACATTTGCAAGGAAACCAAGGGCTTTTCTTTATGTAAAAATAGGCTGAGAAGAATGATTATACAAGACAGATTTTTTTTTCTTTATGGATTAGGGTTGTGAAAAGAACAATTTATGCAGCTATTAATGAGATCTGGTTTTTAATAATTGTCAGTCTTTGAGGATGACAAAAAACAATGCATTTACATTATTTTAGAGGTAATCTCATCCTGCAGTATTTCAGTCTCATAGTGCATTTAAAAAATGAGTTCAGTTAGTGGTGACAGACTGTCAGATAAAAGGAACTCAGAAAAAAGCCACTGATACTGAAAGGTATACTACATAAAACAGTGGCTGGTTCTATTGAGATAAACAACTTGATCCCAACTTCAGGACAGTCTCTATGGGAAAGCAGTATATTAGTCCACAACTTGGCAGTATGAGAGGCAAAGTCAACTTCTGATTATTGAAGGGGGATATTTATCTCCCAAAAGGTTAGCCTTTCAGCTGTTCAGTTAGGAAAGTGAACCCCAAGATAATTTTCATTTAATGAGGGTGTAAAAGTTTTGGGTTCTTACCCCTTCACAGATGAGACATGAAATTTCAAAGGAAAGCAAAACTTCTGTAAGCCTTGCAAAACAAAGGCTTCAATAATTCTTCATTGTCAAGTTGCAGCATTCACTTTCCATTTTCTATCGACTCACTATTTTACTGACAGCTATGCATTTTTAAAGAAATGAATTGCAAGTCATCTCACTACAGAAAATATTATGCATGACTATAATATCTGGGAGCTACTAGGCCTCTCATCCATATCTGAACAATAAATTGCCGACTTGTAAGCAGAATGTATTACATCCAATGCAGGTTCTCTACAGTTTCTTTCTGGTGTAGTACAGTTATACCATGTAGCAAAACTCCCTTATGGAGTGAAGTGTCACATGAGATTCTGCTGAAGTCTTCAATTTTGTTCCAGTAACAACTGGCCTGAACAAACTTTCTGTACACTTCCATTCTAATACTTCGAGGGGAGTAAGGGAGAGGGGGGAGTAGTGATGGTGGAATTTTGTAAAATAACTCCAGAGATTCAGAGCTTGTTTCATTGACAGCCACCAGTGCTGGGGGCATTCACTCCCGAGGCATTGCAGGGCTCCATTCCCCTCCCTGACCCTTCTTTTGTGCAGTCTAATGTGCAAAACCCCTTGCACGTCTAAGGTTCCTGCCCCTGATGGAACCATAGGGGTGACCCTTATAGCCTTCAGCTGAATCCCTCCCTATGAAACCTCCTATCCCTGCCCGGCAGTAGTACTGGTTCAGCTGGTACTCCCTCCCTCACAGACCCCGGAGCAGACTCTCCGGCGTGGCCAGGGCCTTCCCGCTGGTCTCCCTGGGGTAGGCACCCGAAGCGGCTGCCCTTACCTGGAGCAAACACCATGATGCCGCCCGGGCGCGGCGCTGCTCAGCACCTCGGACAGCTGCAAGTCCCGCACGGCTCAGCACCTCGGATAGCTGCAAGTCCCGCACGGCTCAGCACCTCGGACAGCTGCCGGCCCCGCACAGCGGCGGAGGCGGCTGCGGGCCGCGGTCCCTCCCTCCACAATGCGGCGGGGCGGGGAGGGGGCCGGGGCGCAGCGCGCCCGCACGGACACACACGCACACACACGCACTCTGAGAAGCATCGCTGCCACAACTCGCTTCTCCACAACGACAGCAGGGGGAAGGGTACGGAGGAGAAAGGTAATAGCGACCTGCCCAGCGGGGATACCTGCTAATTGCTCCTAATTAGCTCTCGGCAATAGCCCTGCTGTCTGACATTTCGGGGTGCGCTGCTTTCAGCACAAGCTAGCTGACCTGCTAACAGGCTCCAGCCACGCTGGACTTTGTCACAGTATTTTAGCTTTCAAAGAGAAAGCGGAGGAATTTCTCCCCTGATTTCACAGGCCTGCTAGCCCATCTCTAGTGAAAGAAACACTTTGAATTAATAGGAAACATTAGCATTTGAAAATAAGACATATGACATCAAGGCCAAAAGGTAAATCAATAAATGAATAAATAACTACATAAGGAAGAGGAGAACAAACCGTGGGAGACGACAAAACTTAAAAATTTCCTTAAGTTTTGTCCTGCTTCTTTAATTTGCTTCTATTTATAAAACCCATGCTCAGATTTCCTGTGGGCTGAGAACTTGTGCAAATCTAGTGAGAAGTTTAGACAACAGTCGGATGAGACACAGTTTAAGAAAATATCTGTTCTTTTTAAACCTACACAAGCAAGAGTCAATTTGAAAAACAATGATTAAGCACTGCAAATTAGAAAATGTAGATTAAAACCATATTTTTTGTGTGAAAGTTTGCATATAAATTTGCAATATATTTTCCATTCATATGTTTGCAATAAACAGATATTTGTACTTCATCTTTTAATTATCAGGCATTTCACACAACTTCCCAATTCAATTTGGAATATTTCAGCTCTCAAATAAGGCCTTATTCTTAAAACATAGATACAGAAAAGCATTGACCTGCTTAAATACTTCTGGCTATATTCTCGAGCAATAACTCAAGAATGGCATCATTTTCAAAGTCAAATTAATCATCTGCTGACAGGTTTTATTATTTTTGAAACACTTTATAAGACCATTTCTCCTTGGGAAGGCCTTCAAGATTCATCTTCACTACGATTTTCACTTATCTCACACAGCAACTGAATTAATGAAATTAAACATTACACTCTCAAATGCTCTGTAATATTGTTCCCTTTAAGAATGTTACTTAATAAACTCAGTTGTAAAAGAACTACAGTATATGTAAAATACATAAAATATAGGAATAAAACAAAAAGTCAGAAATAATCAGCACTCTTATGAGAAAGATCATATGTATCCTATAATCTTCAGAAAATTCTGACTTTTGGAAAGAAACTAGGAAAATTCAGTGGTGTTTTTACTACATGGCCCCTACCTTCTTCATTAATGTGTTTAATGGAGAATTAGCCTTCATGGGGAGCAATAAAAATGATAACTCATTTTTCTAATACATATATATATATATATACAGGATGTATTTCTATTACATATATCTTCAAAGGAAATTAGATTTATACATCTAAGAGAGTGCATTTCAAGATGACGGTAGAGCTTGTTATAAAATATTTAAAATATTAAGTATGTTTCAGTGATCAAAAAGTCTGTAACCTACCTGTAAAACTCTAAGTGGACTTTCAGTTCATAAAATCTTGGAAGGAATATACTAAGCAAATGTGCAGATATGAAAACAGTGTAATAATAATAACAACTTCAGATCAGTGGACAAGATTAGTTATGCCACATCACTCCAAAAAAAAAAAAAAAAATCCCTTGAGAATAAACCATCTTAAAAATGAGGTAATTTAATCAAAATACAGTATAAGCCCTTGTTTCTTTTATAACTTGTATGAAATGGGAAATATGAAAAGACAAAGAAATACGTATATATTTTTACTGTTAATTATGTAATCCTCCTTATGTACCATTTAAATCCTGACCAGTTGAGTGCAGAGCTAATAGTCTCTGTATAACATCAGGACACTGAAAAAAATTTCATGTATATATTTTCAAATATTTTTTAAAAAGTTTTGGCTTATTTAGATAGGACTATGTTAAGAACATCAACCAGATAGTCATAAAAAAAACCTATTGACTGATAAGCCAAGTGACATCATTTTAAACCACCTATTTTTGCATTTTACAACTGGCATAAATCCTTTATTCTAATGGAGTGGAACACAATTCCATGGGTGCATAGATTCAGCAGCTTAATAAACATGTTTTAAGGAAAAAGAAATTTTTACCTGAAGATGTTCAATGTTTCAACAGTTTGTTCACAATAATGTACAGCTAATATTCCATAGGAAGGCATCTGAATGTTTCTAGAAAGAACAGTTGATTCAAATCACTCAAATATAAATTAATATAGTTATTAATATAAAGAAATAAAAATAATATAGAAAATGTTGTATGTCCATATCAAATGCTAGGAAGAGTTTTATATTTTATTAGAAGTTTCCGCTACAGCTTTTATTTCTTCACACATCTTAGCATTTACAAGAGCTACTCAAAAAGAAAAACTTCCTATTTTAATACCTTCCTGCAAATATTCCATTAAATTTTGTGACTGTGCGATAGATGGCAGCAGAGGGGCAGTCTAACAGAATGGTGTCTGACATGGAAGTGTGCATGAAGCAAGTGTGTGGAACTGAATTTCTCCATGAATAAAAAATGGCACCTACTGACATTCACTGACACTTGCTGAATATATATGGAGACCAACCAGTGGCTGTGAGCACAGTGAGGCAGTGGCAGTAACAACAGTGACAGCAGGTCACCTCCGCTGGCGCAGAGATGTATGAGCACAGCATGCAGGCTCTTGCTCATTGCTGGCAATAATGCACAGCTAATGGTGGTGACCATGCTGAAAAACAGCATTTTTAAGCTGAGAATTTGGTCTATCAAGTAGAGTTATTGCATTCTTTGTAATGGGTACAGTTTCCATGGAAAGAAATAGGAGGCATTACTTACAAAGCAACCTATGTATAATCAAATCATTATACAGCAGGGATCATAATTTTCAGTGTCCTAGATTTAAACTAGAACAATTCATGCCTCTGTGATTAATAAGTTTGTAACAAACAGATGTAAGGAATAAACACAGTAGGAAGAAGAAAAATCCTATTGCCTTTCCACCCGTATTCCAGAAAAACAGCAATGCAAAGCCTTCCAGCAGCCAAATACATGAGATCTTAAAAGCTAGCAACAAGAACATGCAATATTTTCAGAGTCAGTAGAAAGTGAACACCATTAGAGGCAAATGTGCCCATTAAGAGTTGTAGTGCATTAGTCTATTCATTTTTCTTAATTAATTTGATAAACTTGATTAAATTGATATTAGTCCAGGCTCAAGATTTACAAGCATGGTTAAAGACTAGGAGTAATAGAAGTTTCACTTTTTAGCTGTTATTTAAACATCAGAAAATCCTAGGACATCTTACAGGAAGTAAAGGGATTCCCAAAGCAAGTTTTCTATCCAAGGAGTCTCTGTAGCTACTATAGATTCCCCATCTAGGAAATCTGATACATAGCCACAAACACAGCATGCCTCACACTTGTTAAAGTTTTAATCTCCTACAGTCCCATCAGAGGTTAAATTGGTATCTGTACGTTATAGATGGGAGTAAAAATTACAGAGAAGATGAATCCAATGCAAAAGCCATCCAGTAAGGAACAAAGACCTAGATAAATTTAGAAGGTCTAAATATGAAACTGAATGATTCACCTAAAGCATCACCACACAAGCAATGAAGTCAAAGTAATTGCTGCTCCTACATGCCACACCTTTGTATACAATTGGCCTGTCCACTGAGACTGATGAATGAGTCATAGTTCAATAACTAGAGCCTTTAGACCATAGTAGAATTATGTTCTACAGTAAGGAATTCAGTCCAGTCAAGTTCTGGCTTAACGGATCTAGCAGAGGCATCATAAAGCATAGGAAGAGACTTACATCAATTCCTGACATGGACAAGACCATACCATTCTGCATCATGCTAAAGACTTGTTGGATAGTAGTTAAACTTCATTATTTATTTCATTTCAGATCAAGATTTCCTGAGACAGTCAGAATGCATTTGTTTTTAAAAAAAATCAAGTCTCATTTTACTAGCAGAGTATAGGGCTTCATGTACTTCGCTCCACAAAGTTTGTCTTAAAGTCTTGGTTTACATTCTATACTATATTTTAAGAGCAAAAATGCAGTAGCCATAATTGGTACATATATTACTGGAAAAAAAATGAAAATCTTCCTGGTGAAACAAGTAAAGCATTGCTGGCTAAAATAACAAAACAATAATAGCAGTGATATCAAGTCCCTTATAAACAGAAAATATTTAAATATTAGCACATCAGATGTGGACAAAATCACGTGTTGAAAGTAAAGCACATAAAATTGTGAGAAATATCAGAGAACACGACTTATTTCTAGGGAAGAACTTTTCACTGAATGAAGGCAACCCTGGACAAATAAGGCCTTCTGCAGCATCAGCTACACAGCTGAAGAAATATATTTAAAAGCCCTTAATATGATGCACCAAATGAAAATACATAAATATCTATAATTTTTATATTCAGGCCTTCAAATGAATTCATACTTACTTCTACCTGGAAGGAAATCAAAGCCACTCATTTTTAAAACTTCAAGTTTGCCAGAGAAGCCTAAATTAGGAAGACAGAAAATAGATTTCAGCATGAAGTCAGATGATATCACCTAATGAAATAGAGAATCCGTTGCTAAATACTTCATTTTTATTATTGGCAAAAGCTAAAATGATTGCTTGATTTTATATTATTTGCAAAAGTATGAGACATCTCAAAAAAAAAAAAAAAGAAAAAAGAAAAAAAAGAAAAAAAGAAAAAGAAAAAGGAACAAAACACAAGCCTCCAAATTATGTTATTCCCAATTTCGTCCCCAAAACAACAAAACCAATAATAAAACACATACATATCTCTCTTCAAAATTCCCCAAGTTTGCCACCAGAGGCATTTGCGTAGAAGATGTGGATGTGTCTGGTCCTTTCTGTTTCCTGATTGCCTCTCACAACAAGTGCTGTGCTTTATCCCCTTGCACTGAATGTGGTGCCAAAGTTGGCTAAGTCCTGTCCCATTCTTTCTCCTGACTGCTATATGCTCCTGCCACTTAACTTGAATCAAATCTAATGAATTACTTTGACCATGTAGGCCAACTTAAAGTTAACTCATTGAAGCACTAAATTACTGCATTACAGACTCATAGAGTTGGTTTATCCTAAAGCCAAAAGAGCCATTAAATCTGAGGCAAACAAAAGAGAGGAAACAGGTGCAAAATGCACTACAAGAAAAGGGAGAGGACAGAAGAGGAGAGGGCAAGAGAGGAGAAAATGGAATTATCCCTCTTAGCAAAAATTTGCAGTTTTACTATGGCAGGCTAAGCGTAAAGCTGCTATGTGGCAGTTTCACAGTGCCCAAATTCAATCTAAATTGGAGCTGCCCTTCCATTGGCCCTAGCACTGAGGCAAACATGGAGTGCTGTACTTCAGGGAGCTAACAAGCTTAAGAAAAAAAATCGTCTCAATGCAGTTATTAGTTTTCAAGCGGTTCAGCTCTCCATAATGCAGTTCATTGAGACCTTGCAAGAGTGGTATTGCCGGAACAGCAGTAAATTGCAGCAACCACAACTTAGGCTGACTTCAATCTCCATGGATCTGAAACCTCAACCTCCTTTAAGTTTTTCCCTTAACTCACACACAGGGAAACATCTCATGATTTAGCTCTTCTTTGGAGATGGAGGCCTTGTGCATTACCTCTCTCTGTTATCATTTACAAATGAGAAATATATTTGAGTTAAAGAGTATACTAGGCCTGTTCCTATGCTTTTTAAAAATGAGAATAGATTTTCTATGGATCCAAGGTGATAGCCACTAGTTTATTAAAAAAAAAAAAAAAAAAAAAAAAAAAAAAGCACAGAGAATCCAATATATTATCTTTATGAAAATTGTAGGCATAGTAAACTCTACATAGAGAAACAGGTGAAATGTCATTCAGCCTCGCTGAAAAGACTTCAGTGGAAAGCATTCAGCAAGAAAAAATAATATAACTTAGGAATGGGATTTGTCCAGATGAAAAAAGGAGGTGGTTAGGAGCAAGCTGTCATCCATTTCACTACGGTTGAAATGAGAAGGTCCTGCTCCTTCCCTTTCCTTTCCCCTCATCTTCATCCCTGCCCAAATACCTTCCCCACTTGCACTTGCACTGAAACAAAAGTTCACTACACCTCTGTGAGAAGAAAAGGAAGGGAAAAGAAAGAAGACTCCCACTTTAAGCAGAATTAATCTTTACCATGCAAAATCTGCTTTGCTATGCTGTAGGGAAACTGTTAGGTTATGACTTGAACTGGTGATTGAGCACCTACTTAGTGAAGGAGTGTGGCTGACCCAGGGGGCACGGATCAGCCACAGTGATGGTCTCATGTAAGGGTCAGCCACTGAAAGGAGAACATCTTTTGGACCTACACTGCTTCCTGATGAGTGCTGATTAGCCAGAGATCCCCTTTACCAGTTGGGTGAGTTCCATTCTTCGTTCTGTATACTACATTTGGCCTACCTGTGAACACTTTACCTGGAATTACCAATAAGTTGTCAGAAGCAAGTTCTTCATAAGCAGAAAACTATGCCTTTAGAAGACTGTCATCTCAAAAAATGAAGTTTAAAGTAGAAAAGGAAAAAAAAACAAACAATGCTAAAGTTTTGAAAGAAACAGAGAAACATTCCATTGCAAATTTCCTTTCTAAACAGCAAACTTTCTATTCACTTATGTGTTAACGAAGTAATCAGCATCTGAGGGAAAAAAAAAAAATCTTTAATGCCCTAAGCACAGCTCAGGAAAACTTTAATCTTTTTTAAAAGGAAATAGGAATGGGGGAATGGTAATGGGCTTATTTAGGACACGAGGAAAAGAGATTCCCTAGTATACAAAAACAAGATTAAATGCTGCTTAGACACAGTCAATACCACTAGACATTTCTACTGTGATAGATATATATCAAAAGATACTCCATGGTTCTCACACTCAGGACAAAAAATGTGTATGCAGATTCTAAATGTTGGAGGTTAATACAACGAACACAAAACAGCAAGCATTATCTGAGGCTACTGACTTTGTAAGCAAGTGAAAAGTTGTTCTTAAATATAACTGCATTAGATACAGCAAATACAGATTTGCATTTTGTTTGTACTAGAGCTGAATAAGTTAAGTTTGAGAATATTTATCACAGTATATTCTTGCTTTTATTCCAACTGTTCTCCTGTGATTTGCCTATGCAATCTTAAACACAACAGAAACACATTAACAAGCTTTGACAGTATGCCAAGTAGGACAAATATCTTCATCTGAAGATACACAGTCCTGAAAACTCTACTCTGTAAAACTACAGTTATGCTGATGACAAGTATAAAACAACCAAAAATCTGCAGATAATTGATAATTTCCCCCAAAGAGGAACCCTGCCTGAAGCTACACAGTATTTTGTGGTTTTTTTTTTTTTTTTTAATTTCAATTTCTAGAGCAAAAGGAAAAAATGAATTTTTCATCTTAGAGTGGAATGCTAGCAGATGACATCCTCTTGCCTGAATACTCTGCAATGCCACTGCAAGGATTTGTTCATACAAGCACTGTTTCTGGTATCTGTGACCTTGAAAAAAAATCAGGATCTTCATTAGTGAAGAATGAGAACTTCAGTATTTTTGTCTCTAAAATATTCTAAAAATTGAGCTTCCCCACAGCTAACTTGCTTGTACATGTAGATTACTCAAATGTATAAATTGCCTGCTGGGAAGAAGTCAGAAAACCACAGAAGTAAGCAGTATGCTTTGTTGCTGTCATCACGTTTTTCGCTTTTTTTGTGTGTGTCTTTAAATTAAAAAAAAAGATTTTGCCTTAGAAAATGTATTTTTTTCTAAAACAGAAAAGTTGAAATTATCATTTATCACAATTCTCATAATTTTATGATTCCTCTAAGACCATCTATATTCAGTGCATACTTCCAGTAGTTTCTTTTAGTTCTACATTAAAATTCAGCTTTAAATCTAAATACATGCAGAGTATGCAATACGCTCCTACTGTCCTATATACATTTATGCAAAGTGGTCAACACTCTGAAAAAGAAAATATATTTGGAATTTCCATTCACTAAGATTTTCAATATATTATTAGTACCACCCTTGACAATCTTGTTGTATCCTTTCAAGAGCTACAGGCTTTTAAATGTACACAGATATCCCAGGTATAGAAATATTTTATATAAACATATGCATATGTACCCTACAAGGAATCTGGGATACAGGTACGCAGTATTTCTGCTGTTGACCAAGCCTTTTGATATTCATGCTTTACTTTAATAATAAATGTTTTAGATTTGGAACAACTTTATTCAGAAGGTCTAAGTGGTTTTCAAGTTCATCTTTATAAAATTAGATACTTAGCTGCAGATTGTTGAAAAACAGAGAGACTTCAGTCTATTTCTGTCATATAGAGCTCTCAGCACTGTTCTGTTCCTATCAGAATTGTTGAAGGTCTTAGAGTTTCAGAGCTTTATAAATATCTGAAGGAGTAAGGCCTGCAAATAAAAAATAAAAGAGGATAGTGGAGAAAAATACTTTCAAAAAGATATCAATATTAAATAAATCACTATTTTTAGATATTCTATTATTTCAGATCTGTTATATTACATTTCAGAATCATTCCTGTGAAAATATGTCTCAACTATTACAATACATATTTAACAAAATCTATTCATGGAAATCCTCATCTGCTCTGAGATGAATGCTATTATAATTGTTTTAGTTCTATATGGAGACAAATGACTGCTGTAATGGAATTTTTAATGAAACATTCACATTTCTGGCTTACTGAGCACACCACTGTGATCTGTGGACTAACAGAATGAATATTTTTTTTAATCTATCTCTGCCTCCTAGGTGAAATTATGCTGCATTGTACTTCTTTGTAAATGCTTACTTTCAGGAAAAAAAAAATGTTGTTAGTGATAGATGCACTTTATTTCAGATATGTACAACTTCTGTATGACAGAGAAGTGTCTAAAATTTGATAAAAGACTTCAGAATAGATAATCTGTCTCTAAAAATACATTTTAAGCTTAGTGTAGACTTTCTGGTACCATCTGATATTTTATTCTATATCTCACCCGACTCTATTAATTTCAATATCCTTTTTCATACTGGAATTAAGAAGGCACCCCTAAAGCTATGTCTGGATTAGAAACCAGAGTCAGATCTCCAGAAGAACTCCAGGTTGGGTAGCTAAACTGCAAAATTCTGATGAGTTTTCAGTATTCTGCAGCTTACACGAGGTTACACAAATAGAAGCTGAACGCTTCAACATTTTGCTACTGAAGTCAGCATGAGGCATTTGCTTTCACATGACATCAACATTTAAAACTCTGATCTCTAGGCCTAAACCATTTTCTTTGCAATATTAGAGCAGAAAATGACAACTAAGGTTCTCAGCTGTGAATTGCTTAGTATTCTAATGTTTGTTTAAATATTGGTAAGAATTGTGTGTAGAAGAGGGGTTGAGAATGGAAAAGCGCTGGCAGGTATTCTTTCCAATGCTCTCTTTGTTCTTTTTTCCTCTTTAGTAAACACCTGTTTTTAAGAGCACGCAGTTAAGATCACAGAACAGCAATTACTTCAAGTATTTCTTTTCACCTTAAGTTAGTCTATGCCTTCTGGTACTTAGATCTTTTTACAATTCAGGAGACTTTGACACCAGTAGAAAGGCTAAAGTAATCATACAGACTTTGGGTCTACAGAATTTAGGTCACCAGAGCATTGGCTGACATGATGTTGCATTTTATATATATCAGAACTTTTATATATATATACATACATACACACACACATACAGTCCTGATCATACAAACAACTATTCATTTCTAAGCTTAATTTTAATATACACAGACCTCCACTGAAGCCCCATGGTCACCTGCCACCACAATATGTTCAATATGAGACAAAAGACTAAAAGTTTTTGCTATTCTGTGTATAATAAAGACATCACTGGCCTAAGTTTCAAAAACATTAGATGGAGAAATGTCTGTTTAGGAATAATTCCGTGCATGATATTTTTGCTACTTAATTCTGAAGCAACAAACAAAGAAGACCATTTAATTCATACCTAATGCAATTTTAGCCATCCATGTTTCTATAGTGTTCTATCAATCTTTCATGTTAACCTGTTCCTTGTCTGCAAACTATGTTAGAAATATTAGGCTAGTTCAGCACCGATAAAGTCAATAGCAAAATTCCCATTAATTGGCCAGAATCTCACTCACTATGTTGTGAGCTCTGAAAAGAAATTGCCATCCTTCTAAAAGCAAAAGTAAGACATTGCCATTTTACCATGCTGGAAAACCGTTATGGCTTGGAGCTGCCATACATCTGCTTCTGTACATAGCATCTTCTGGTAAAGACAGGAGAGAAGTGTTGAGCAGCAGTGTCAGGAAGCAGTTATATCTACTTGAGTTTCACAGTCAGATCCCCAGAACACATAAGCTGCTATCCCTTCAGATCATATACTTATAACAGGATTAACTTAGGGTACACTAACAACAGCATACAGCAAAGGTTATCTTGACACTTCCTTTCTAAGACCTTTTCCAGAACTTCAAAATTATTCCAGGGCCTGTTTTGAATAGAGATATTTGGAAAGGCAAGAAAAGTCTATTAGTTTTCACAGAAAAAAACAGAAGTGAAGTGGAAGGAGAAAAGGAAAAAGGAAAAATAAAGATTGCATCTTAAAACACACAGATGGAGCAGAAACCTCCAATGAAATTCTCAACCTAATAAAAATAACAGAACCTTTGCCTTCATGATCAATACCATCATTCTCTAGAAAATGCAGTGTTCTTCTGGCTCCTATGCAACTAAAACTAGTAGGAGACCTGTGTGACTCTTGAAACCTATGACGTGGGATTAATTCCACTGTTTTCACTTAAAGTTTCATGTAAAGTGTTTATGCCATGTACAGGGCATGTGTGACAAAAGCACCTGTTTCTGAATTCTGCCCCTGAATATCAATCTGCCTCAATTTTAAAATGCCACAGACATCACACAACCCTTAGAGCTGTAATCTTATATATTTCTCACAGCTGTAAACTTAAACAACGGCAAAATTTACTCTGATGCAAAATCCAGTGTTATTACATGTCCAGTTGCCGGTCTTTTAATGCAAACCTGCTTTTCCATATGACTGAAATTGACATCTCAATTGCTTGTGCAAAAATGTCAGGGGGCAATATATGTATTTTTTGAACTGTAGGCCTTAAGCTTTCCTTTCATTCAAGCACGCATTCATCACTTCCCCAGCATCCTAAAAAAAAAAAACCCAACACCAAAGTTAAAGAGGCTCTTCAGAGGTTATTCAGCTTATCCCTTTGCTTCGAGGCAGAATGAACTATAACCATTCCTAACAGGTGTTTGTCTAACCTGTTCTTGAATATCACCACCATCAGAGATTGCACCACCTCTCGAGGCGTTCTGTTCTAATAATTCTTTACCCCTTAAAAGTCTTTCATAATGTCTAATGTAAATGTTCACTGCTGCAATTTCAGCTAATTACCTCTTGCACTCTTCGTAAGAGACCTAGAGAAAATCTAGGTTTTCCATTTTTTATGCTTTTGAAGTCTTTTCACAACAGATTTATTTTATGCAGGCTTAGTGACCCCAGTTTTAACACCTAAGAAAAAGTAAGTGAACAAAGTTTTAGACAAGAAAACATAACAAGACCAATATTCTTAGAAAGAAAAAAGTAGATCCCATTCTGGACCTACTATCTTTATCTGTGATCATATACAATAAAACATTTTAACAATGGTCATTTATCATGTTCCTCAAGAGAACCAATAAAATGCAATGAATACACATCCTCTGATGTTGCACAGATACAAAATGTATAGTTTGTTTACAAACTAATATTACTGAATGTAAAATGAAGCAACATTTTAAAAAAATATATTGGTAAAGGTCCAAAGTTTACATTTTCTAAAATATTAAATTCACGTTTTATTTACAAACCAGCCTTCAAACGATTATTGGCATTTTAAGATAATTGCTTAACCTGACGGGTACATGAAAATAACGAAGCTGTATAAAAGCAAACAAACAAAACAATAAGCAAAGTTTCATAGAACAATTCCAAAAACGCAATTTTCAATTTCTATTTAGAAATGCAAAATGTGATCTACTACACAGTAACTTACCAGAAACTGGTCTAACACTTTCATATGCTATAGGTATCGCAAATGATCAATGTTGTCCAACCATGTGCCAAAAATAATGCATTTTTTGCCCATTCCTACTTCAAATGAAGTGTTGACAATAGTTCAGTATTTACAAATTTTAAATAAAGGCTCGATATCCCTTTGGATCATATTATCACTATTTTTGTGTCTTCTCTTGTTAACTACACATAGCAGACTGCAATCCAAAGATGACTTATTTTGTTGACTCTGCGAGTTAACAGTTAAACTAGCAGCAGCTTGTCTGAAAAAACAACAAAAAAAAAACATGACATGAAATTCCAGGTAACAGACTACAAGTGAACACTGATTCTGAATCAATTTAAGACTGAAATCACACAATGAAGTCTCCCTCTTGCTGAGTGGCAGTGTGCCAGAAGGTGGAATTCTTTAAAGGTGAGCAGGACTTACAAGTTGGTAAAACCAGCTAAAATAGAAAATCCCAGTCTGAACACTGCTGGCAGGTAATGCAATAGGCCATGGCTGTGCCCTGTGCTCCAGCAGTGAATTTCGGTCACTTGCCAGTGCACTTAATCCTCCTGTGCTGCTCTTTGCCTTGACTGTGCTAGGTTAGGTGGAGTGAAAGCTGTATAACAGAAGCTATCATGTCAGGCTGCAAATGAGCTTTAACTCATTTCTACCAGGTCCCATTAAGGAAAATAGCTCTTTCTCCATGTTGCACCTTTTTTCCTTGTAGTTCTGTTCCATATCCTGGGGCCTTCTGAACTAACACAGAAACAAATAAGTCAGACACTTTTTCCTCATAGAAGGGACTGGCAAGTGCAAGACCCTTCTTTGCCAGCCTGGACCATGGTGAATAATGCAGTTTTTTTAGGAAAGCGAGTACTTTCTAGTTAATAAAACTTGCCACCTCAGTTAAAATGAAAGGATATTTGAGGGAGTGGAAAAAGAAGAAATTTAATTTTGATCACAGTCCCCCATTACCCTGCTGTACTAACCTCTAGCATCTACCTTAGGTATTAAAAAAAAAAAAAAAAAAAAAAAAAAAAAAGAGGAATTAAAAAGCACAGGGAATCATTTCTTGCTTCTTTCTCAAGAATTGTAAGCCTAACACCTTCAAAATTATGAAAAACAAGTATATCCTTTCTGTTTCTAATTTTATGAACTATCAGCATTTTAGACATCATTCACTGATTTTGATGTCCATATTGTATGCAGTATTCCATGCTTGATATAGCAAAACATCCTCCAGTGATGATCCCTGTTTTATAGAGAAATTGATCATAACCTTAAAATAAATCAGCTATTAGTGCATTATACTGCTAATGACAACAAAACTATTTTATATTCTAACAATACCCATCTCTGAATTTTTAAAAATACCTAACTGAACAATGCCTTCTGTTCCTATGTAGCATTCAGATCCAATAAAAATAGTTGTGTTTTTTTTTTTTTTTCCAAAAGATAATTATTGGTCTAAATGTATATCAACAATAGATTTTGTTCATTTTAATATCTTATATTATTTTTGATAAAGTTTCTGGGTGTTTTTCTTTTTTTTTTTTTTTTTTTAACTACAAGCTATAGTTTCTAATTGCTGCTCTGCTTCAGCAGCCATAGCTGCTGCCTGTAACTGTTCTGTTTCACTCTGGATGGAATTGGCTGTAGTAACTTGTTTTCTTTCACTGTGCATATTGTTCTCATGCCTCTTTAGATCTGATGCTTTAGCAAATGCTTTAGTGCAGGAACTGCAGACAAAAGGCTTCTCTCCCCGGTGTCTTCTTTCATGGTCTTTGAGGTGGGACTTGTGCTTGAAAGCTTTATCACACATGTGGCATGCAAATGGCCTCTCATTACTGTGAACTCTTTCATGCTTTTTTAAGTCCGGTGCACGAATAAAAGACTTTCCACATACCTCGCAACTGTAAGGCTTGTAACCTGTGTGTATTTTCAGATGCTCTTTCAAATGAGCTTGTGTGGTAAAGCCCTTTGTACACATTTCACAAACAAATGGTCTATCAGCAGTGTGTAGCTTTTCATGTTTTCTCAGTCGTGCCTCATCAGAAAAGGTCTTACCACAAGCCTGACATACAATGTGTTCCCTATGACCATAAAGCAGATATTCAAACTTCATATCCCCAGCTGCTGTTGTCCAGCCTGGTGTCTGTTCATCTTTCACTTCACTTATGCCATCATTAAATGTCAAAGCCTGGGGGGTTTGAGATCCTAAGTCTTTTGACTCCGTTGTTTCCATAGGCTCCACTTCTTGGCCATAGCAGTTTACCTTTCGAACCTCTTCACTTCCCAACTCCTTCAGAATCGCCTCCTGAACTCTCAGGGTAGTGGTTGGTGATTTCCCATCTTCCTGACTGGGGGGAGTTCCTTCCACTGTCACATCCGATGGACTGTCATCGTGATCTCCAATCTCTTCTACCTCATCATCCTGGGTATCATTAGGTTCCCCAATAGGACGGTTTATTTTCAGACAGTACTTGCTCTTGGACTGTGTGTTCTCTTCAGGACTAGATACATCACGTTTTTGAGAGCAGAGTTTATCCAGAAAACGAATACCAAGAATCTGGCCTGAAGACATCATCAAATTTACATCTTCCTTCTTAACAGAAATCTTTGCGGTGTACATGTAATTAAGAACTTCCTCAAAAATATCAGAACGAAGAAAATCTATTTCAATTACTGAGGAACTATCAACCTCTAGTTTTTTGAAAAGCTTTTTGAAGTAGGTACTGCAGGCAGCAAGCACACACCTATGTGCTCGGAATTTAACATCTTCAACCACGATAGCTATGTCACAAAATTCTCCTTCCAAACGTTGTTCATTTAATGTTTTCAAGAACACAGTTTTGTGATCGTCATCATTATATTTAATGGTTTCAGACATACTGATGAAAAACTCCTGTAAAATAACAAGGGAAAGTTTTGGGATAAAACAGGCTAAGTCATAAAATTCCACCAGCTGATGACACTTACGCTCTAAAACAAATGAAATATTTGGCTTAACAGGGTCAGAGAAGCCTTTCAGATTATCAAAGCATTACTTTGAAACCTCTTTGGAAATTAGAAATAAAGACATAAAAATATTCCCCTGGATTATAAGCTTTATAGACACAACTATTTATGTTGCGTTTTCTTTGTATTAAGAAATTAATTCATTTAAACCTATATATTGATTCAGTCATCCAAAATTGAAAACTTCTTCTGAGAAGTTGCAATTTTCTCTAAATGCATGACCCAACAGTATGATAGTTCTTAAAACTGAAGTAAATATTAGTAGTGAAAACAGCGTAGAAAATGTGGCAGCATAACAAACTAAAAGTGAAATATGAAATACAAGCCTTACCATGAACAATGCAGGAAATTTTCTGAACAAACAATTATTAAATATTTGACGGATGATTAACCCTTACAAAGGGCCACCTTCAGCCTGAAAGACAGGAAAACATTAACATATTAAGAAATGATAAAATCTGTTTTACATTAGTGCATTAAAGCATGGCATTTTCAATTATTTAAAATGACACCACGCACAGTGCTAAAACACTCAGTTATTATTTAGACAGATTCTACAGATGACTGCACAAACTCATCTGATAATAGTTCTGTTGTTGCCATAAATCATGTTTACTTTCTGCTGGTTTCTTTACTTCTCTGACTGTTTTCCTGCTACTCACTTTTCCCTAGATCCAAAAGCCAGGAAAACCTCTACAGGACTCCACAAAGTCAATCTATTAGTTCATCCAGAAGAGGGGACAGTTTTCTGCTGAGTGAGGTGAGCAAGACCAGAGAAGAGCATGGCAAGCAGGCAAAGCAGCCCCAAGGATGGCACATTGGGCCACAGATGGATGCATGTCAAGAAACACCCAGGATATCAGATTTCCAAACAAACGGTGGAGACATTTGGCACAGAAACACTGAAAAATACAGAAGTGATATTATTCAGTCCCAATCTCCAACAGGCAGCCCTTGTGATAGGGGCAGGAAACACATGGGGGAGGGAGGCAGTCACTGAATGGCTTAGATTGGAAAGGACTTTAAAAATCCTAGAACTCCAACCTCCCTGCCATAGGCAGGGTTGCCAACTACTTGATCAGGTAAGCCAATATTTGGTTCAGACATCTCCCTCCATCACCTGTCATGCAGCTACTGGGAATGCCACTCCTCAGTGCCTATTTACCCTTGACCAGATATGAAAATGGAAGTAGCTGGTAGGTATGCAACTTCCACCCCTTGGCAATGGCTGTTTAATATGATGTTGAAACATTCAGCATCAGACAGTTTTTGCAAGCCTGGCATTGCAGCATATGGAACTATCGACTTGAAAAAAAAAAAAAAAAAAGAGAGAAAAAGAGAAAAAAAAGAAGAAACAAATGTTAAAATTATTTGGGCTATGCAGTCAGATGTTAAGATTGATCAGAAATGAAGTCAAAGTCAGAAAGGAAGTGTATAAGTATGTGAAACAGGTAAAAGAAAACTAAGAAATATTGTGTGTGTTTTCCTGGGCTGCCTGGCTCTGCTGATCTAGAATGAGGCATCAAAGAATCAAGAAACTGAATTGGTAGGTACCCTTAAAGGACATTCAGTACAACCCTCCTGCAATGAACAGGGACACCTATAGCAGATCAGGTTGCTCACAGCCCCATTCAGCCTGACCTTGAGTGTCTCCAGGGATGAGGCATTCATCATCTTTCTGGGCAACCTGTTCCAGCGCCTCACTACCCTTATAATAAAGTTTTGGTCCTTATATCCAATCCACCAAATGGCACGACTAACTATTCCAACAGGTTTCAGAGCTGTTTGCAAGCTGGGGAAAGCCCTGCTTTCCTTTTGAGCACACAGCAAAGTGCCACTGCTGACGATCTAGCAGTGATACCTTCTATTTTCATTAAACAATACACAATTTTGCTACGAATCTGTTAAGATCTGCTAAACGGGAATAAATTACCGAATGATTAACTAGCTGAAAGTCGTGTTGGTGAGCACACAGGAGTTTGGGATCGGGGAAAGAAACCAAACTCTGTAGCGGTATGCAGCAGGCACCCGAGTGGAGCACTGCAGCAAACTGGAGGAGCACCCCGTTGCCACCGCACTACTTATTGTTCGTCCCCTCACACGGCTTTTTCACCGCTGTGATCACGGCTGCTGCCGGGACTTCCATCTGAGCTCGTGACTGTCGCCGCGGCTCCTGCCGGCGCCGGCTCCCTTCCCTCCGCAGGACAGCTGCGCACCGTGCCCGTGCCCGCCCGCAGCCGGGCGCACGCCCGCTCCACGCACCCGCCGGCGAGGACGCGGCGCGGGCGGGCTCCCGCCGGGGCCCAGCCCAGCTCAGCCGGGCCTCCGCGGCCCGCTCGCCGCCGCTCCACGGGAACCCGCGCTGCCGTCCCGCCGCCGGGGGCGCCCGCGAGTAGCGGCGGCCGCACTCCCGCGCCTCGCGGGGCTGCGCGCTCCCCCCCGGCCGCCCCAGAGCTCTCCTCGTGCTTCCCGCCTCCGGGCCGCGGCCGCGCGCCCCTTTGTTGCGGGGCAGAGCTGCTCCGGCCTCCGCCGCGGTGCTGGAGGCGGCGCAGCGCTGAGCGGAGGGAGGAAAGGAGAAGGAGGAGGGAGGGAAGGGGGCGCGCGCGCGCAGCACAACGG